TGGCAGGATAAATCTCCCCAGAGTTAACCCAACGGCTGTGAACATTTAAAACCAACACAAGTCTCATTAAGTGTCCAATTTTAGGGTCTTACACAAAAGTATACCACACAACATGAATCAAACATGTACTTCATTTATTTACATTAAATATCAAAAGTACATCAAAACTGATTGAAACTAAGGGCATACAAAAACTGTCCAACATAAACACTTGAAAATTTCCAGTGATTTTGTTAGCAGAAGAATTAATAAATTTAATGATGGAATTATAATCCCGAGTCACTCTTTCATGACTACCTTAATTTTGATCATTTTGAAATACTTGGCATCTCTGGTGATGGTATGTTCTCTTTAATTGTTGGCTTCTATGTACTTTATTAGGTTGCATTTGATAACATTATGCATTTTACCCTACTATGGTTTATCCATGTAGGGCTTTATAACTGATAATGAGAAGGCACTGGAGCAACTTTTTGGGGAAGATGTGGAGAATTCTCAGATATATGATGCATGTTTGAATACAATGGCCATGCGCATTGCCACAATGTTTGCGTCATTGAGGGTGTGTACTAAATAACTTCTCTTTGTTGATTCTCAATGATTGGCATTTATTGATTTTTTTTTTCATTTTATGTCATTTTTCTATTGCTTTATGTAATCATAAAAAAAAACAAGTTGAACGTTAGGTGGAAAGCATGGGGTCTCAGCCATACCCAGGTGCTCACCTTTAAGAAATTCTGCTTTAAAGTAGGAAGTCCAAATAGTCTCACCAAAGTAAGCATTCCAAAGCCCTTTAAGATGAAAGCATTGTTCCACCTCATCTATACACCAAATATTAAGGTCTATTGCTTTAATGTTATTTTGTTTAATTTTATTTAATAAAGTATTACTTATTTTTGTGTTAATGACATTTTATAGTTATGCAGTTGAGGAACCATACAAAGAAACCTCCTTCCTTTTGTGCCTTTTTGGTGCATCTGGAAGGAAAGAAACTGTTGTATTTTCAATGTTAGATGCTCTCCCATAGAGAGGCTGATAGGAAAAATAGAAAGGACCTTGATAAATTGGGTAATGATTCTGAAGGATTTTGATGGGCTGAAATATGATAATTATACACAACATCTAGTGAGAATAACTTTTTCTTCCTTCTTTGGTGTCTATATGTATATACATGTCTATGGATTTACATGGTTTATCCTCATTAATCACGTAAAGATATTATTATACCTTGTGGTTTGTCCCACCTGTTCAAAATATTCGTACGGTATTGTCTCACCACTTATTAAAAAGGAATGACACTGATCCTTCCCTTTTATGTACAGGTACCACAGATTTGAAGAAACCCAAATCTGTAATTGTTGATTTTGAATCTTAAGTTAATTTGAGAGTTATTTACTTATATATAAATGCTAAAACATTATAAGAAGTGAATGTGCATCATGGGCATTGAATATGCTCTTAAGAGTTCTTTACTTTTGCAATAGTTTATTAGGATTAACATCTTTTGATTCTAGTGATGTTATTCAACAAGTGTAACTTTTGATCCCTCATTCAATGCCTAGTCAAGCCTCAAGGAAAATAAATTAAAATGTCGATTGGAGTTGGCAGATCATTTGCTTCTACACTACAGCTTCTCTGTTTTGGTTTGAGCACTTGAATTATGGCTATGTTTGGTGTAAGAAGCTGCTTCCCAGCAACTGTGAAGGAGTTTCTAAAGGGGTGCCACTTGGAAGGATTGACTCAAAAAAGGGAAAATTTCTGGGGTCTAATTGTGGCACCTATTTTTTCGGTTATTTGGCAGGAAATGAATGAGAAAGTTTTTCACAATTGGCAGTGTTCAGTTGATACAGTTGTTTGGAAACTAGTAGGAAAGTTATATTCTTGGTTGAGTATACATAAGGTCTTTGAATGAAAGAACTATAATGCATTCTTTACACAGGAAGCCCTTTTGTAAACAGTCAAGGGATAGTATATTTGTAAGGAATGAGGAATCTTTTTGTAATTTTCCCATTGTACAACCTCTATTAGTACTGGTATTTTGTTTTGAAATTAATTAAACGACAAATTTGTATTTGAAAAACCAATGGTGTTTTATATTTCTTCAGGAGTTTCCATTTGTTCGATACCGTGCTTCCAAGTCCCTTGATGCATCCACGGTGACATCATTTCGTGAATTAGTTCCTACAAAGTTAGCTGCTTTAGTGTGGAATTATCTTAGTAAGTACAAAACTACTATTCCAAACTTCCCCCAGGCAGAAACATGTGAATTGATTATCCTGGACAGATCTGTGGATCAGGTATGGGTGTTTCAGTTGTAAAAGACTTGCTTATAGATTTTAAGTCAAAATTTTCAGGTTGATTATGTTGATGTTTTGTTTTTAGATTGCTCCTGTCATACATGAATGGACATATGATGCTATGTGCCATGATTTACTTGAAATGGAGGGAAATAAATATGTGCATGAGGTGCACCTTCCTGTCCTGAGTTAATTTTGTATTTTTTCTCTTCACTTCCCGATTTTTCTTTTCCGTGGACTTTATAAGGAAATTAACAGGTAAAATATATATTATCTAGGTTCCAAGCAAAACAGGTGGAGCCCCCGAGAAAAAGGAAGTTCTTTTGGAGGATCATGATCCTATCTGGCTTGAGCTTCGTCATGCACACATAGCAGATGTACGTTTAGGCTTAGAATTCTTTTGTTTATTTTGATACATGATGGTGTGAATGTTCTTTTACAATTAACTGGTGTGCCAGGCTAGTGAGCGTTTACATGACAAGATGACAAACTTCATATCAAAGAACAAAGCTGCACAAATTCAACATGGCTCCAGGTTCTTTTTTTCTTCTCCCCTATTGTTTTTCTCCTTAAATGAATCTTTAGTGCATGTTACTGCTTAATCTTATTACATTATGATTGTACTTTGATTTTTAATATGATACATTGTTTCTTTTGGGAAGTATCATAAGCTCCCATTTTTGTCTTGAAGAATATTTTCAATTGATTCACTTTTATTTATTTTAAAATATGTTTAGGACTTTGAGACTTATGCTGGTAACTTGTAGTACATTCAACAATTGACAAGAATGGTTATGATAAAGAAATATGTTGCTGTAATTAACAAATGAAAAGATTCAGGGATGTTTCCAAGTATTTGGTTGACTGTTGACCATATGGCTCTTGCATTTGTCAGGCAACTATTAGGTGATGTTTTGAAATTTGATTGGCTGTTTATTCATTTATTTTGTTTATGATATGTATTTTATCTATATGGCATTGTGCTATATAGAATTAACTAAAACTCTGGCAGGCATGGTTTATAAATATTCTTAAAGCCTCTATATATTGTTGTGTTATTTCTGTGTTTGGGGACATATTATGTGGTTTTTTTTTTGCAACTTTTGGAATTCCAAAAGAATCATAACGATGTTTGAAAACAGAGTGGTCCTTCATAAGTGTTTATGTAGGTACATATCATGTTTACTGGGCTTGTAGTGTTTGAAGAACTTTACATGGATTGCATGGGGATGTATATTATCTACTCACACTTGTACAATTTTTATTTTACTTGTTAAAATGTCATTTTTTTTAGTGATAAAAATAATTTCATTATTGGTAAAATGTCAACAATGAACTTAATGCCTGTGGCATAGTTATGAAGACAACATCTAGGTGGGCACCTAAGCAATGCCTAGGCAACAAAGCATTTTCTGGTGAGTGCTTTAGTTGTGCTCTATGATACATAAAATCATATAGTATGTTTTAGTGTGTTGTTTATTACTTATTTATTTCTTTTCTTGATTCTATACTTCCTTGCTTGAATTTAATGTTCTGTTACTTTGCTTATTTGCATGAATTCAATATGTTTTAATTCTTGTATGCTTGGATTCACTATGTTATTGACGTGTTGATTTGATTATTTGTTTTGGTTCTTCTTATCTGAAAAACTCATAATTGTAAATATGTCTTGCCTTCTAGCTGAATGGAATTGATTATACATACAATTTTGAGATTTATAATTAAAAGTGATATTGTCACGAATTAATTATTTAATGCATTTTTGAATGAAAAATCCATTAGTATTAGTTTTATTTTAGTATTTTTCCTAATACAAAATAACAAGAAATTGAAAATGGGAAAATCTATGATGTGGGAAAGACATGGTATTGGAAGAGTTTTGACAAATTAAAACCCACCCATGAAGTTTGATAAATAACACCTGATTAGCTACCACATTTATAACTCCAGTTGATTGGTCATAAGTTTTTCAGATATCATATCTTTCCGATATCATAGATGAACCCATTGAAAATATGAAAACTGCCAGCGTAGATCATGCTCAATAAATTATAGGTCTTATTTGCCATTCCATTCTATTAAGTAGGAAGATTTTGTGGCTATAGTTGTGCATGTAGTCATATCATTTTTCTGTAATTGATGTACATGTCAGAGAGGAGTGAGCTTTGGCATCTAGAGGAAACAACTTGTTCAGATGGGTCCCCAGTTCAGCTAACTTAGTAGCTAATGATTTGGGTTGGAGTAGGGTTGAAGACACCAAATCAAGCTGATTCTGTTATTTTTTGTTTCTTTTTTCTTTGTTCTTTCCCCCTTTTCCAGGGTCCTTCTTTTGTTAGGGTTCCATATTGTTGCTTTGTAATAAAATCTCTTATTATCATTCAAAGAAGAAAAAAGATTTAATGTATTTCTTCTATCACATGTTACTTTAAGTTGCTGATAAAAAGATTCCTAAAAGAGGTGGTGCATCCCAGCACGGAAAGTGTCAAAGTATCAATTACTTGAATATTTGAAGTGTTATCCCTTTTAAAAGGAAAAAAAGCCTCAAGACATTGAACTTCACACTCCCAATCTTGGCAATAGCTATTGTTGAGCAAGAGAAAGAAGAGGAAGAGAAGAAGGAAGAAGAAGAAGGAAGAAGAGAGAAGAGGCTGGTGGACTTAATGCCTCAAGAGAACTTGCTTCATGCGAGTGAAGCATTTGTATTTATAATATACTGGCCGTACAACACAAGTGGTGTAAAAATTACAAAAATACCCATGCGGGCACTAAATCTGTGTACAGTACATACAATAACATCAGTCAACACTCCCCCTCAAGTTGGAGCATAGATATCAATCATGCCCAACTTGTCACAAAGATCTTAATGTCTGGAATGGTTTAGCCCTTTTGTAAAGATGTCTGCTAGTTGGTCTTCAGAGCTGATATATGGAGTGCATACTTCGCCTGTGATGACTCTCTCTGATAAAGTGCTTGTCAACTTCAATGTGCTTTGTTCTATCATCTAGTACCGGGTTAGCAGCAATACTTGTAGATGCCTTGTTATCACAGAGTAGAGTCATGGGTTTGTCCACTGGAAAACCCAACTCACCCAACAGATTCTTTATCCACGTACTTTCGGCTACTCCGTGTGCCATTGCACGGTACTCAGCTTCAGCACTGGATCTAGCCACCACCGTTTGCTTCTTACTCCTCCAAGTAACAAGGTTCCCTCCTACAAAGGTGCAATAACCACTAGTAGACCTTCTGTCACTTTGAGATCCAGACCAATCCGCATCTGTATAAATTTCAACTCTCAAATGTCCATGCTTCTGGAATAATAAGCCAGCACCAGGGAACTTCTTAAGATACCGCAGTATCCTCTCTGTTGTTTCAAGATGAGTGGTCCTAGGTGCATACATGAACTGGCTGAGGACACCAACAGCATATGCTATGTCTGGACGGGTCATAGAGAGGTACAACAATCTCCCTACAAGCYTYTGAAATTGSTTCACATCTTTAAGAGGTTCACCTTGGCTGTCACTTAACTTATGGTTGGGGTCAATGGGAGAGTCAGCTGGCTTAACCCCAATCTTTCCAGTGTCCTTAAGCAAG